GATTTGAATGAATCGCTTAACTGATGCTTTCCTGTATGTAAGTAAAATCTTTTCTATAACGTATGCTGAATACAAGGCCACTCGTTAGATGGGTTCACTTTTATCTACGTTTTGGTCCTGTTACGGTCGGCGTGAAATGGCTGGACTGACAATGTAGAATTACGGTCTATTTCTGTATTAGCAGATTTATGTTTGTTACTATTATAGTAGGTATACGATTCTCTCTTCCGTAAGAATATCCGAGGGTTCACTATCATGCGAAACACAAAATCTATTTGTATTTTTAGCTTCAAAACACAGATAATCTATAATGACGTTCGATGAATGCGCTTCTCTGATGATTAGGAGTATTTGAATTATAGTATGAAGTATGAATCCCAGAAATAACGTAATCGGATCAAGAAGTACTAGATAACCACAAACGAATGTACTGTATTTAGAATTCGACAGTACAAGTACAAAGGTATCATTAGTCCATTCAAACACGACATCCGCCATAACTTAAATTAAAGTCTAGTTGTCTGTAATCAATTGTACGTCTTCTTTTCGAGTTCATCTTGTGTCCGTCAGACAGTGTATTGGATAAGGACTCTGTATCATCTAGAATTTACTCATTAGCATTAGAATCAACAACCGAAATCGGAACTGACTTACCTGGCTTCTGGAATTGTATTTGATGAACATGTTGATTGTGTGTACCCAAGTCACTGATATCTAGAATTTGCACCATAAATTTCCCGACATTTTTCAGAACAATAGCCGTAGATGGTCGAAGATCATTTCCTCGATAATAAGTAACTTCTGCAGACTCCAAACATCTCATATTCGACCGAAGAATTCTTCCTTTCAATCGCTTTGATGGAGTCTCCTTCGTCACCGAATGTCTGGCAGTTCTGTATTGCAGTAGAAAGGTGTCTACTCCCCTCTCCAGCTCATTAAATGATGAGGCGGTTATAGAATCAATAGCAGTTTTGAATGTCCTGACAGACTTTTCTGCATGACCATTAGAACAAGGATGTCTGGGAGCAGTAAACAGATGTTTTTACCTTATACCATTCAACCAGGTGTTGACTGCATCTGCAGCAAAATGAGAGCCATTATCAGTCACTAACACCATGGTGAAATCAGAATTTGGTGAAGTTGTAAAAACACTTCAGGCCACTTTGAGAAAAAATCAATGACTACCAGTGAATAGTATTCGCCAAGAAACGGACCACAATAGTCAGCATGCATTCTCTGCCAGGCCTCAGACGATACTGGACATGGAGTCCACTTCGAAGGATGATTTTTCAACTGATGACATTTCTCACAATTGTTTGTCGTACGACATATATCTGCATTTATCTCCGGCCACCAACATGTGAGCCTTGTCACGGACTTCATTTTCTCAACACCTAAATGTCCACGAGAATAGGAATCACTGTTAAACGAACGCAAGTTTGATTAAACCTGAGATTGTATTTCATCATGACGACTAAGCAAAGTATTAGAAATCTTCATCGACTGGATATCAAGTATTTTCACTGCCTCGTAGTTAATACACGCAGTTCTAGCATCATGAAAGGAACAGTTCTGCATTCTTAACAGTTCTCTTTCCAAACCCGGTATGTTAATTCCTGCAATTAATCGATCTCTCAGTTGCACATGAAGTTGATCACCGAAATTACACTTGGCAGCTTGTTTCTGCAATTCAAGGATGTATTTCCGAACATTTTAATCATTTTGATGAATCATCTTATGAAATTTCGCCCTTTCACAGCATTCAAAACTGGTGCACTTTACATGGTTTAATAATAGCTCTTCAAGAGTTGCATAAGGAAGTGAGATAGGTTTTTCTGGATATGACAGTTTTTAGTACGCTGCATGCTTCTCTCCCGATGAATGTCAGGAAACATGCCACAATTTTATCACCTTTAACATCTTTGTTAGTCATGCTCCAGGTTGCGTGCCTTTTTATCCTAACGAGGCAAGCTTATAGACATCAGTGATTGACCAACCCAATATAGTTTTTTTTTCAAATATAAACTTCTTCCATTCTGTTAATCAAATCTAAAATTATATAGTTTCTGAGATTTCCATTGCGTCGAGATTATGGATGCTGGCACATGTATTCGATTATAATAATGTCTTGCACTACCTTTGTCACATCAGCGTCGTTAATAACTGTGAAAGTTATAGACAATACAGAATCTTTGTATTTTAGTGCTTCATGAAATTGCGTGGCCCGGATAGGCCATACGAAGCTAGGACCAAGCACAAAGGCAAGTTGGAGCTGACCATTCCACTCGTGAACTGTCTAAATGATAAAAAAAAACATGTAAAGGACAGGGCCCACCACCTCGGCAAACCCCATATAGGTGGGCTACCTGTCCATTCACATAAGGCTGACACAGAAAATCAGGACGAAGCTCACGCGTTCCAAATTGAAAGCATAAACTGCTTATATATGAACGCCGCGAGTCTACCAAACAAATTGGATGAATTACGTGAGCTTAGCAACGCTAATAAGGCCCATCTGATAGGAATATCTGAAACCTGGATATCTTTTCAGTTCCCGGACCAGGATTTAGCAGTACCTGGAATGTCTTTGTTTCGCAACGACAAAAAATCAGGAATCAGGGGTGGAGTAGCCATGTACATACGATCTTGCTTGGAGGTACACCAAGTTCATAACCCCGAGTTTAACAATCTTGAGGAATCCATATGGTGCTCTGTAAGATTGTCTAGTACTTCGAGGTGTCTAGTCGGAGTCATTTACAGGAAGACAACTACCGACATCGAGGACGATAGTCGTATGCTGGAAGGACTATCCCGCTCTACTCGTCTCGGTTTCACACACATCCTGATTCTAAGGAACTTTAATCTCCATAGAGTCAACTTCGCGGGACACAAGTATACTTGAGGCGACAAGTCAATTGAAGCTCGGTTCTTCAATTTCATCGATGACTTGGGATTGTACGAAAATGTGAGGTCGGCAACTCGTTGGATAAACAGTCAGACACCATCGCACTTGGACTGCGTATTCACAAACGAAGAATTTCTAGTTGACAACCTCTCAATCCTGGCTCCCCTGGGAAAAAGCGATCATGCCGTCATAGCCTTCAGTTTTGTCATCAAAACTAAGCTAAGGTATCCCACCAATAACTGGCGTTGGAATTTTAAACGGTTGAATGTGCCAGCTTTACACGACTATCTACAACGGGTGGTTTGGGATGTTCACCCTCAACTCGATATGGACAGTCATCGGGACTTCTTACTGCACACGCTCTTATGTGCCACAAACCATTCAGTCCCTCAAACGGTTGCCAAAAGTTGCAAGCCACCTACAGTAATCAAGCCGTACCCTTCGCCTGCTAAGCCGCAAAAGGCACTGTTGGGCGGAATACAAACGAACTGACAACGACGGAGCGTATAGGCAATATAAACATATAAGGAACATATGCACGAAGGCTATAAGAGAAGACAGGCTTCAGTACCAGACAAGGCTTACGGACAAATCCGCCTCTAATCCTAGAAGCTTATCCCGTTATGCAGCCTCTCTTCGTCAAGCCAAAACAGGGGTTTCTCAACTGCTAGGTCTTAATGGCCCGACCAACAACGATGGTGACGCCGCTAACCTTCTGGCGGCACATTACTCTCAAACACTTCAACCGACCGACATCAACTTTACTGATGACAGTTTCATCTGCAATTCCACCAAAACAGCATGGTTTCAGGAAGGGTTACTCCTGTATAACCAACCTTCTGACTGCGGTGAAAAGATGGACAAGCATCCTCGATCACAAGGGGAAGGTTGATATCATCTACCTAGATTTCTCAAAAGCTTTTGATAAGGTTAACCATTTATGTCTTATGAATAAGCTCAAACGACTAGGTATCAAACCACCTCTAATCGATTGGCTTACTTCATACCCGAAAAATCTACACTCTAGGGTTATGGTTAATTTCACTTTATCTCAGGTTATGGAATGTCCTAGTGGGGTCCACCAGGGCTCAGTAATAGGGCCTCTTCTCTTTCTGATCTACATAAGTGATCTTCCTCAACAGGTAACGTCAGATTTATTACTTTTTGCTGATGACGTGAAACTTTGGAGGGAGATACGCAATCAAGACGATATACAGGCACTTCAGGAGGATCTGACTCGACTTCAAAGTTGAGCAGACGATAACGGACTTACCTTTAACACTTCAAAGTGTAAATTGGTCCATCTATGACATGTCGCAGACTACAGTTACAACTTAGGAAACTCCTCGCTAGTAGTATCCCGTGTCGAAAAGGATTTAGGAGTCCTGGTGCCCCATGATTTAAGGTCTTACGCTAACTGTGACAAAAGTGCCTTCCGAGCAAACTTTGCACTGGTAAAATTGAAGCTCATTTTTGGCCAGTTTGACGGAAGAACTTTCGATATAATCTTCAATAGTTTCATCTGTCCCCATTTAGAGCACAGAAACCTAGTACTCCCCCTCATTACAAAAGGATAAGGACACTTTGGAGCGTATCCAACGGCGAGCCACGAAATCAGTTCTACGACTCAAATTTAAAACTTACAAAGAGCGCCTCCATTCACTAAACCTTTACCCATTAGAGTATAGGCGTCTTAGAGGTGATTTAATAATGGACTGTAGTATTCTTAACAGTTCTGGACATCCTCTTAAACACCTTAAGCTTAGTTCGAACAATAACCTAAGGGGTAACACCCAGAAACTGGAGACACAACATAGCAAACCGGAATATGGACATAACTTCCACTCCTTAAGAGTTGTCAAAAGCTGGAATTCGCTGCCGGCCGAGCTAGTCTAAGCGACTTCTCAGGAGTCCTTCAAGAGGCAACTTGACCTATTCTTAAGGATCAAGGACAGCATCATACTATGATTTACCAATTTCTTTTTCTTCTTTTATTGCTAACACACCTAGGTCTCTGCCTGGAGGATTTGGTGATCCTCTGCTACTAGACACGGAAGCATGTTAAGCGAAAGCTTCTTTTATTCCGTCCACAACCATTTGAACCATTTTCAAGGTCAACGTACACCACTTGACTGATTATATCAGAGGTTGTAGGTGTTGGTGGTGCCCTTTCCGATTTTCCATTTTCGCAACTATTTGGTTGTATTTCATATCCTTTTCTAGTTCAAGTAGTTTCGTATTGCCTAGTGATATTCATCGTTCATTAGTGAGCAACTTAAGTTGCTTAATTAGAGCATAAATTGTGCTACACTTGTAAATCACGTTGCTGTCCTGGCTGATCATTTCATAAAGCTTGCTGTAAATTCTAAGTCAGTTTACTGTCCATAAAGTAGGGGTTTGCGTTGTAAAGTGTATTTTACTTTCGATCGCGCGCTCCTATCGGTTTTGTGGAATTTCTGATCCACGGGTCAGATTGCAATCTCCCATTTTCGGCGTTTTGTCAATGAATATTGACAGGTTTTTCCAAAGTGTTATAAGATTGTGGGAAAATATTGACAGGAACTCGAAGTTCTTGGGGATTGATCCCCAAGAACCTTGGGGAAATTTTGGGTTTCCCGTCTCATTTCCCCAAAATTTACTATAGCGGCTTCCCCAAAATGGACCAAATTTTCCCCAAGGTTGGCAGCTTGGGTCCCTGAAAATATACACAATTTTTCCATAAATAAGGAGGTTGGGGATCTTACCTCGGCGTCGCATCCGTTTTTTGTCCAGCGACGTTCCAAAGTTTTGTACTACAGTAAAAAAAATTGTGTACTAGATAAGGACATATGGTGGATTCTGTCTCGATTATGACCTTGATAGTGTCATAGGGGCGTTATCAATTTCGAACAAATGACTTATGATGAACAGAAGAACTCGACGAAGATTCATTGCTCCCACGTTGTTAGTAAGCTTTTCTAAGTTACCTTTAGGCTACCAACCGTCATATTTTGGTGTTGAAATGGGGTCTAGTTGTTAGGACTGAGATACAGCTTCAGAATAGTTCCTTACACTAATACTGACTTAAATTCCGCATCCTAATACCTAAAAGTCTGATTTAAATCTGTCAAAGAATGGCGTGAGATGTCCGTTCACACGGTTTTTGTTTATATATACTCTTATTTATTTGCTTATTGGTCTCACAGTTAACTGTTTTCCTGATTAGTTCAACGTTTTGAGAGTATTTTATACTTCCCCCCTACTAAATTTACCTATCACATTCTGTAATCGATTTCCTTGTTCAGTGTGCGCGCTATGACGCCGATGTCGCTTTGGTCGTAATCCATTAGTTTCGTCTTCGTAACAGAAATTGTATTCATAACTTATAAAAAACCTTTATTGAAATGATAATCACTTAAGCGATATCGAAAGGGATTTATCTGCAAAGTACATTAATTAATGCGTCATATTGAATTGAGTAAAACTCAAGAATTGTTTTGAGGTCATATAATGGAGGTTGCAAAATTTGTCATTACTTTTAATGTCCGATTTATTCTCTCACTATTTGCGACCATGTCATAAGTTGCTTCTTATCCTTAGCATAAAGCTTTAATGTTTACTAAGTACGACTTTCATATTAACTATTTCAGATCTCTTCAATACACTGGATATTTGTGAAAAGTCTACATGTCAACACTTTGCAGAATTTTGGGTCGCTTTCCTCCTGTCTATTTGAATTTTAAGCAAGACGCTAGGACGTTATACAATCCTAAATTGCTTCGGCAGGAATCCTTGTCATATAGTACAAACTTCAAGACCGTTGAGGATGAAGGTCCTAAGCACACCATCATTGATGGTAATGAACGGAGTTGTGGTCCAAAAATAAAAGTAGGATTTCAAGCTGAAACACAAAAGTTACTGGATATCGTCGCTAAATCTTTGTACTCAGACAAAGAGGTTAGTGGTAAATATAACAGTATGTTAATGATTACATATCAATTTTCCAAGTTCAAGGCTTTTCAAGAAGTTTCGACTTAGTATAACTCCTTAACTAAATATAGGTTTATATACTCTGCTTTGAGCTACATTTTGGATAAGAGCTAGTGATACTATCTAAACCATAAAGAGATGGGATGAAATTTGAACCTGCTAATAAATAGTTAAATGCCGATTCCTCTATCCACGATCAGGACTTAAGCTGATACTTAGTATATTTCATCCGCTACATTTTTTTTACAGAATACATATAACAAATTAATAAAAGACTTTATGTGGTTCGTTTATGCTTGTTTCATTATTGTCATAAGTAACCACTGGATATATAATTTAGATACAATTTGTAGTACTTCATATACTACCACAATATGTGACACAAAATCGAGTGTGATTGGAGTCACTTGTGACCAGCTGTTAGTCGTTGAACAGTTCATGTGTTTGAGTAGTTTTTAGTTCTAGTAGTGACAACAGATAATGTGGATCTACAAATAGTGATAACCGGAACTACCTATGCCGATCTGGGGGCATTTTTGGACTCATCACGCCGTGTTTTTTTTTAATCTTAGTTCTGGTGTACAACACATTATTGAGAGCAGTTCTGCTTTATGCTTGCCAGACTTCCGAGTTGAGGATATTCAGCATTTCTGTTTGATCACCATCGTCTCAGAAAGATTGTGGTCATCTAGTGGCTACACCATGTTGGTAATGCTGAGGTTCAGCAGTGTGTGGTTGGGCACAGTGACAACAATCTTTGTCGAATCTATTGCAATATGTCACATGATTCCTTTATTCAACATCATGTGGATGTATATGAAACACACTCTTAGTGAATGCATTCCTAGAAAATCTAAGATTTACAAAAAAAACCATGATTCATGTTCCTGCGGAGTCTTTGAGACTAATGTAATTGTGAAAAATTTATTAATTAGTTAATCTTTAAAAAATCTCGATTAAGTTTCATGATGAGTTCATTTTTTGACCTTTCCTAATACCGACTCAATTCTTTAAAAGTAAGTTCTGTAATTAAAACTACCAAAAGATATGTTTTGCTTTTTTTGTATCTTCATTCAGGTGTTCGTTCGTGAGTTGATATCAAATGCAAGTGATGCTATTGAGCGTCTGAGATTTCAACGTCTTTCTGGCCAAGTTTCATCCAGTTTAAGTGATGAACCTTTAGAAATACACATAAGGACAGATGAAGCGAAGAAAATTCTCGTCATTCAAGACACAGGAATTGGGATGTCTAAAACTGAGTTGGAAAAAAATCTTGGAACTATAGCACATTCTGGAAGCAGAGAGTTTGTTTCTAGTATGACTGGCAACAAGGACAGCCAAAAATCTGTTGACATTATTGGTCAATTCGGAGTTGGTTTTTACGCTTGTTTTATGGTAGCTGATAAGGTAATCGATGTTCCGTTCATTTAAGTACTAGCTTTTAATTATTGTTTCTGAAATACCTCATACAAGATTGTTAGTAAATCAATTTAATTTTTAATCAAATGTGAGATATGAGTTGTTAATAGTAACCAATATTACACTTAAAACTTGACTAAAAAGTGTTTTACATATTTGTATGTATGGTTACGTTTCTTTTCCTGTCATTTGAGATCGAAAACACTATTCTATCAGAACTAGTGAATTAATTAAGGGATCAACTATTTAACGTTTGAAACAACCTCAGCATCAATATGAATATAAGCTTGGTATATTATTCTGCCTTAATGCTTTTTAATGTTATTAAAACTATAGAGTGATTTCTCTGTGTTAGCGGGACATAGACCGGATTAAAGCATGCTCAATTCACGATTGCTTTGGTGCACGCTGATTGGCTAATTATTATCCAATCAACTCCGCCTGTAGCTCTTATAGGGTTACTGCCGGTCCCAAGCCCGGGTAAAGGAGGAGGGTTGGGCATGGGGTTAGCGTCCCCATCCCGTAGAAAACTAACTCGCTAAAAAAACGCTTACCAGAAAAAATAATCCAAACCATTTAAACTCTGCCCTGGGAGTTAGAAGGTCTTCAGTTAGAAGAATTATGACGCTTCATGGTGAAAGCCGAGTTCCTTCGGAAGCCACGAGGCCGATGCCCCTTCTAACAACCAGAGCAAAAATTTTTATAGGTACATGGAACGTTCGAACAATGTGGGAAACCGGGAAGACCAGTCAAATAGCAATGGAAATGAGGAGATACAACTTAGCAGTACTGGGAATCAGCGAAACCCACTGGACCCAAGCTGGACAGAAAAGGCTAGCTACGGGAGAGATGCTGCTATACTCCGGTCACGAAGGAAAATGCTCCACACACTCAGGGAGTCGCTCTTATGCTGTCCAAAGTAGCACGAAATGCACTTGTAGGATGGGAGTCTCACGGATCCAGAATCATCAAAGCATCATTCAAAACAAAGAAGGAGGGGATCTTAATGAATATTATCCAATGTTATGCACCCACCAATGATAGCAACGACGACATTAAAGATCAGTTCTACGAGCGGCTGCAGTCAATCATTGAGAAATGCCAAGAAAGGACCTAACTATTCTGATGGGAGATCTAAATGCCAAAGTCGGAATAGACAACACTGGATATGAAGATATTATGGGACGACATGGACTGGGAGAAAGAAACGAAAATGGAGAAAGATTTGCAAATTTGTGTGCATTCAACAAATTGGTCATAGGAGGCACAATATTTCCACACAAGCGTATACACAAGGCTACATGGATCTCACCGGACCACACTACAGAGAACCAAATAGATCATATTTGCATCAACAAAAAATTCCGAAGGACAATGGAAGATGTGAGAACCAGGAGAGGTGCTGACGTAGCTTCAGATCACCACCTAGTTGTAGCCAATTTAAAACTGAAGCTAAAAAAGAACTGGACAAGTGGACAAACAGCACTACAAAGGTTCAATACAGCCTTCCTTCGAGATACTGACAAACTCAATGAATTCAAGATAGCTCTCAACAACAGGTTCCAAGCCTTACAAGATCTACTGAAAGAAGAAGAAACTAGTATGGAGGACAACTGGAAAGGCATCAAGGAAGCATTAACTTCAACGTGTCAAGAGGTTCTGGGCCTAAAGAAACACCATCATAAGGAATGGATCTCTATAGAAACACTGGACAAGATCAAAGAAAGGAAGAACAAGAAGGCAGCAATTAACAACAGCCGAACACGAGCAGAGAAAGTCCAAGCACAAGCTGAATACATAGAAGCAAACAAACAAGTGAAGAGGAGCATTAGAGCCGACAAGAAGAAATACGTGGAAGAACTAGCAACGACGGCAGAAAAAGCTGCTAGAGAAGGAAATATGAAACAGCTTCACGATACAACGAAGAAACTAGCAGGGAAATACAGTAAACCAGAGAGGCCGGTCAAAGACAAAGAAGGCAAGCCAATCACCGAAATTCAACAACAGCGTAACAGATGGGTGGAATACTTCGAGGAACTCCTGAATAGGCCGGCTCCAATGAATCCACCGGACATCGAAGCAGCACACATAGATCTTCCTATAGATGTCAACCCACCAACGACGGAAGAAATTAGAATGGCCGTCAGACAAATCAAGAACGGGAAAGCAGCAGGACCCGACAACATACCAGCTGAAGCACTGAAATCAGACATCGAAGCAACCACAAGCATGCTATACCTTCTATTCAAAAAGATTTGGGAGGAGGAACAAGTGCCAATGGACTGGAAAGAAGGACACCTCGTCAAGATTCCAAAGAAAGGAGATCTGAGCAAATGTGAAAACTACAGAGGCATTACACTACTGTCAATACCAGGGAAAGTCTTCAACAGAGTGTTGCTGAACCGGATGAAGGATGCAGTAGACGCCCAACTTCGAGATCAACAAGCTGGATTCCGTAAGGATCGGTCGTGCACAGACCAAATTGCAACACTACGGATCATCGTCGAACAATCAGTTGAGTGGAACTCATCACTATACATCAACTTCATTGATTATGAAAAGGCATTCGACAGTGTAGATAGGAGGACATTATGGAAACTTCTTCGACACTACGGAGTTCCTGAGAAGATTGTCAACATTATCCGGAACTCATACGACGGACTACAGTGCAAAGTAGTGCATGGAGGACAGCTGACAGATGCATTCCAAGTAAGGACTGGAGTCAGACAAGGCTGTTTACTCTCTCCCTTCCTCTTTCTTCTGGTGGTCGACTGGATTATGAAGACCTCGACATCTGAAGGAAAACACGGAATACAATGGACAGCTCAGAATCAATTAGACGATTTGGACTTCGCAGACGACCTAGCCCTCCTATCACGTACACACGAACAGATGCAGATGAAGACAGCCAGTGTAGCAGCAGTCTCTGCATCAGTAGGCCTCAGCATACACAAAGGGAAAACCAAGGTCCTCAAATTCAAAGCGGAAAACAGCAATCCAATCACTCTTGATGGCGAAACTCTGGAAGATGTAGAGTCCTTCACATACCTAGGAAGCATCATCGATGAACAAGGAGGTTCAGATGCAGACGTAAAGGCGAGGATCGGCAAAGCAAGGGTCGCATTCCTACAATTGAAGAACATATGGAACTCAAAACAACTTTCAACCAATATCAAAGTGAGAATCTTCAATACGAACGTCAAGGCAGTTCTACTGTATGGAGCTGAAACTTGGAGAACTACAACAACCACAATCAAGAAAGTACAAGTATTTATAAATAGCTGTCTACGCAAGATACTCAACATCCACTGGCCGGATACCATCAGCAATAGCCTTCTGTGGGAGAGAACAAACCAACTTCCAGCTGAAGAAGAAATTAGGAAAAGACGATGGAAATGGATAGGACATACATTACGCAAATCGTCAAACTGCATCACGAGGCAAGCCCTAACTTGGAATCCTGAAGGGAAGCGAAAAAGAGGAAGGCCAAAGAACACATTGCGTCGGATAATAGAAGCAGATATGAAAAGGATGAATTACAACTGGACGGAGCTAGAAAGGATTGCCCAGGACAGGGTTGGATGGAGAATGCTGGTGAGTGGCCTATGCTCCTTCACGAGGAGTAACAGGCGTAAGTAAGTACTAGTCGATAGTTGGAGAATACTTTGGAATCTTCTCATGTAAAAAACTATAAATATACTGACGTTTTCTCTATTGTGCTTCTGACTTGCTTCTTACTTCCATCTAACCTTGTTATTTGGAATATAATCTCTTTCCTGTTCAACCGTGTTCTGATTTGGGGACTTGTCGAGTGAATTGGTATCCGAGAATACTAAGCAATAGGAATAGCTGGGTCATAACCGTAAGAAAAGCGATTTATAACAGTGGCGACGGGGATGGGATGGAGGTGTTCGGAGGTGCTGGATTCCGTTCTGCCGACAAAATTGTGAGAAGAATTCGGACGTAAACTGTGTCCCGTTGTCACTAACTATCAATTCTGGGATTCCGAAACGACTGAATAGTTGACGTAGTTTACTAACTGTGCAGCTTGCAGTCGGGTGTTCCATGAGAAAAATTTCTGGCCACTTGCTATATGCATCAACCACCATAAGGTAAGTTTGTCCATGAAGTGGACCAGCAAAGTCCAAATGTATACGCTGCCACGGTAACTGTGGTATTGGCCATGATTGCGGCTCTGCTTTTCGCGGTGCTTTTGCTGCTAATGCACATTTGGTACACGAGCGGGATAGCTGCTCCAGTTGGGTGTCTAAATGCGGCCAGTATACATAACTTCGTGCTAGTGCTTTCATGCGATTTATTCCAGGATGTCCTGCATGCAACTGTTCAAGCACTGCTGGTTGTAGCTTCTTGGGGATTATGACACGTTCGGCAAATAGCAAACAGTCATCGATGATTGAAAGAGAGAGTCTTCTCTGATAAAACTGTTGAAGCTTTGTGGAACTGATTTTCGAGGGCCACCCTTCTAGGTGGAACTTTCTAACTTCTTGTAGGGTTGGGTCTCGAAGCTTTTCTTCTCTGACTTCATCAGACGACACTGGAGTGTTTCGAATGGCATCTGCTACTATACTTCGTATTTCTGGGTCTATTGCTGTGGAGGCAATGATTATATCCTCTGGTCCAGGATGTTGAACTCCAATTAATCGAGAGAGAGCGTCAGCTTGACCGATAGTATTTGTCGACTGATACTTGATATTGAAATCATAACTCAGGAGCATTGTTGCCCAGCGCTGTAGTCTATTAGCCGTATAGACAGGGATTCCTTTCTTAGAACCAAAGATTGCAATCAAAGGTTTGTGATCTGTCAGTAGAGTAAATGTACGACCATAGTGCATTTTATGAAATCTTTTGACTGCGAAAATGATTGCAAGAGCTTCCTTTTCAATTTGGCTGTAGTTTCGCTCGGCTGGAGTAAGTGATCTAGCAGCATGGGCAATTGTCTTTTCTGATTTATCCGGTAACACGTGAGATATCACTACTCCAACTCCATGACTAGAGGCATCAGATGCAACAACAATTTCCAAGCTGGGATCGAAGTGCGTCAAAAGAATCTTTGAGCTGAGCATTGATTTGACTCTGTCAAAAGATGCTTGACATTCTGCTGACCACTGCCAAGGTTTATCTTTCGATAGTAATTCATTTAGGGGACCTCTCACTCGATGCATTTCAGGCAAGAATGTGCTGTAATGACTGATTAACCCCAAGAAGGATCTTAATGAAGAAACATCAGTTGGTGCAGGCATCTTTTGAATGGCTTCGATGTTGGCAGGGTCTGGTCGGCGACCGTTCTTATCTAAGATAAAACCCAGGTATTTGATCGAATGCATGAAGAAGATACATTTTTCCTCACGTAGTTGGAAACCATACTCCAACACTCGGTTAAGGACTTGGTGTAGTCGATCAGAAAGTTCACTGTCAGTTGAACCCATAACTATGATATCATCTAGATAAGCTGCTGTACCAGGTATACCTGTTAGCATCGTATCCATTATTTGCTGAAATATGGCGGGTGCGGTCTTGATGCCAAATGGTAGACGGGTGTATTGAAATAACCCTCGATGAGTGTTAATGGTCAGAAGCTCTCTACTATCTTCATCTACTTCCACTTGGAGATAAGCATCAGAGAAGTCTATTTTCGCGAAACATGTCCCACCATTAAGCTTGGCAAACAGGTCTTCAGGAACTGGTAAGGGATATTGATATACATCTAATGCAGCATTTAAACCGGTCGAGAAATCGGCACATATGCGTATAGTCCCATTGGCCTTCTTAATCACTACGATCGGTGCGGCCCATGCAGAGTAGTTAACTGGTCGGATTACACCAGCCTGTTGCAAGCGATTAAGTTCCTGGTCGACTAGCTCAAGAGCAGCATATGGTACAGGACGTCTCGGGCGAAAAATAGGTATGGCATCTGGTTTCACTGGTAAGTGCGCTTTCATCTTGGTACAGTGGCCAAGGCTATTCTGAAAAACAGAGGCAAACTTTCTTTTCAGTTTTTCTAGTAACCTTTCACCTGTCTTCTTTGGAAGTAATGGGGTGTCCAATGATGAACACGATACGTTACAGACACTGTTAATTGGTATATCCATTATTCCAAGTTTGTCTAGCATATCTAGACCAAGAAGATCAAGGTTCGGCCGTTCTGTTAGGTAACATATTCCTGTACAGTTAGTTCCATTGAAGGAAAATTCACACTGTAATTCACCAACCAGTTTTAGCACACCACCTGATGCGTTTTTAGCCGTTTTCTTAGATGGCTTCATTGGCGGTTTACCCAGCAAGTTATACGTTTCTCTAGACACTAACGTGATATCTGATGCCGTGTCAATTTGAAGACGAGCTGATATGCCGTTTATCTGGATGGTAACATACTTTCTCCGAATGTCATAGTTTGTTTGAAAGGCAGCTACCAAAGAAAGAGATTTGGACTCGGCTGATTTCACATGTCGAGGACGTTTATGCTTCTTCTTAGGCTGAGACGTACGCTTCGGTGGACAATGACCTTCTTTATGTCCACGTTTGTTGCACGCCTGACATTTATGCTTCTTGAACGGACAGAATCGTGCATAATGCCAATCACCGCATAACCAGCATGCAGTCCTTGGTTTGTTACGAGTTGTTACCGGCTTCTGAACTTTTAACCTAGTAATAGTATTTACACTACCGCAGGTTAAATTAGGATTTACCTGTTCAATCAACTCGTTGTCGTGTCTGATGCTTTGTAGACGCTTACACTCATCTGTCAATGTTCTGAGTGTGACGTTTGGGTCTTGATCCAGTCGAGCTAAAAGTCTAGTCCTGATCTCAGCATCTTGTGGTGACTGAAGAGCTTTGATGAATATTAAGCATTTAAATTGGTCATCAGTCAACGAGCGTAACTTGAAACGTTCACATTCTCTGTTGACAATGTCTGCTAGAACACCATATTCATCAGCTTCGCGTTTCACCAAATTTAGACACCGATATCGAATACTAAACAACGAGGATGACTCGCCGAATATCTCTGACAACTGAAATACCGTCTCCTCGAAACTGAGCTCTCGAGGTAACTTTGGCAATATATGGTCAGCAAAACGTGCATGTTCGTTGCTTCCCAACTTACGTACCAACAATCGGGTCTTCCACGCATCGTCTTGGTTACAGAATTCTGTTCTAAATGTATCTTCCCAACGTCTGAACCACGTGAGAAAAGTATTTCCACTTTCGGGATCATAGATGAATTCTGGGATGCTGCTAGCAACTGCATCACAAGACGAACTTGAAATAGCGTGTGAACTCGAGCTGTGGATGTTGAGCTGTTGAGTCAGAGTCTCCAACAACCGCATTTGTGCATCAAGTTGTGCTTGCTGTTGTTGTAGTATTCGGTTAAGCTGGTCATCTGATATGGGCATCTTGAATTTGTTTTCCTTTTTCCCCGTCGCCACTGTTATAAATCGCTTTTCTTACGGTTATGACCCAGCTATTCCTATTGCTTAGTATTCTCGGATACCGATTCACTCGACAAGTCCCCAAATCAGAACACGGTTGAACAGGAAAGAGATTATATTCCAAATAGCAAGTCAGAAGCACAATAGAGAAAACGTCAGTATATTTATAGTTTTTTACATGAGAAGATTCCAAAGTATTCTCCAACTATCGACTAGTGCTGATTGGATAAGAATTAGCCAATCAGCGTGCACCAAAGCAATCGTGAATTGAGCATGCTTTAATCCGGTCTATGTCCCGCTAACACCTCCCCTTTGAGCAGATTCGTAGGATCTGGTGCTAGGGTCCAACTGCAACCGAGTGACTGGTCTGTGCTTTCGATTAGTCCATCGTCTAGGCAATAGAGAAGTATCACTTTTTTCTTGCACAGAAACTGACGTGTCTGTTCCCGGCGTTTTGATTTCGAAGGTGTCTAGCAGAACATCAAGAGGTAATCGATATTGAATCTTGTTGCTGGCTATCGAAGTTGCTTTCAATTGGTTAGCATGACGTACCCAAACTTCTGAGCCAACTGACACCTCGTAAACCACACTCCCCTTCTTTTTCAAGATCCGACCAGCTGTCCATGTAGGATGTTTCCCACGATAGTCCACAGCAAGCATTTTTGTCCCACCGTGAACAATCGTCTTTGTGCCCCATGATGTCGGTTGAACTGATTCTCCATCGAATGCTGTTATATGGTTCTTAATATATGATATGGAAAAATGTAAATTAATAAGACATGGCTATTTCTACAAAAAGTACCGTATTATCCCTTATAATACAACTCAGAACTGCCGATCTAGCGTATTTGGATTTGACTTGCATATATAATATATTTACAGTCTTCATACTATGATACCCTACTAATCTACAGTGGAAGTCTGATTAGCCTTAGTGGGTTGGTGTCTGACGATATCTCAGCACGGATTTGAAGAGCTCGTTTGGCTTTTGCCAACTTACGTCACCTATGGTGAAGGCGAGATATCCGTCTATCAAGAAAAGAATGAGTATACTGCTCGTCAGATCGTTCTGTTCTACTTTACGGCTACAAAACGTGGTCATTAAGTGTAGAAGAAAGTCGTAAGGTACTAGTATTTTATCACAGATGTCTTTGAAATATTGCTCGCATCTACTGGGATCACCGGATAAGTAATAGTGAGGTTAGACGCAGGGTATTAGGGAATGATGGTAAATCAGTTGATGGGGTTGCAAATCTTCATCAACTGAGATGGTTCGGCTACGTGTTACGTATGTATGAAAATCGATTACCACGACGCGCAATGCTGACTAGTGTTGGAGATGATTGGAATAAAGTTAGGGCTTCCAAACCAAAACGTGGCATCAGTCCTTAAAGTCACTAATTTCTAGTCTTAGCCATATTGGCAGGTGTAGACTACTTGGATGGGGTCCGCGCGACTATCGTAACCAGTGGTTGGAGACTGTGTGACATGACTCAGGATCATTCACAATAGTGTAAGTGTATATACTCTGTCTTCCCTTAAGCTGTGAGATTAAAATTAATTTATACCTTTCCTTTTTGCGAACTAATTCTTTCTTGTACTATATCCTTACACACAATCTTCTTTTACATATTACTACCATTGAAGTAACTACTTGTATGAGTTTGGTATTCATTTTGTTGTTATTTTGATAAAAATAGCTAAATATAGATTGATCATGGATTATATTTGACTCTCACGTTTGGATGTGTTTTTTAAATCACATTTTGCTGTTATCTGTTTGTATAGGTTGATGTTTATTCCCGCAGTCACAGAGACACGAACCCTCAGGAAGTTGGAAGCCATTGGTCTTCTTCTGGTCTTAACGGAGAATATGAAATTGGTGATGCTGAAAATGTTAATCCTGGTACAAAAATTGTTCTTCAACTGAAGGATTCAGCTTCCGAATTTTCTAAAGAAGATGTATTGGAACGTATTCTCCGTAAATACAGCAATTTCGTTAGTACCCCTATTTATCTGAATGGCCGACGAATCAATGTAATTGAACCAGTATGGACTAAAAATCAATCAGAAGTAAGCAAATACAAATGAGGTTAATCATTCTCCCCTTTTTTTAATAACTGCTATACTTGTTTTCATTATTTCAAATAAAAGGAATTTATAATTTCAAATATTTAAGAGTACACGTTCTGTTTCTTAATGCAGTGGATTTATTTTATACTGAACACTGTTATAATAAATTAAAATTTTTTCGTGAATCTATCCTGATGAATATGCTTATATCTTTATTGACCGCTTTTGTGATGGTTTTACCATAGGATAAGAGCGATAATATATAGACGTTTTTAGTCGGCCATAGGTAGCATAAAACCTAAATCACGTGCCCATTAGTTCAACGAGCAACACCATAGCTCAGTGAAATTATCAAGGTAATTGCCATAGTAGCAGAAATAACAGTATCAGTGATAACAGAAAACGTTAGGCGTAGAAAGTTTGATCTAAGAAAAATACATTTCTAAAATAAAAAGGTATAAAATTACTTTAAACTTCACGATCTAAGGCAAAACAAAAAGTGAATAGATCTGCGCTGTTGTTCCTGATCGTAAGCCATGTCACTCAGCCTCTAACCATCCGTTACAATAATCGCGCGAATCTCAACCAGATAGGTTTTACCTACCAACACGGCTTAGTTCAACAGTCAATAACTTCACAGACTGATTGTTTTGGCTGCTCCTAACACTCATCTAACCTTCAGCTACTTTGGTAAAGATTATACGTCGAGGTATCCAATGGTAGGGCGCAAGTGTTATATGTCCAAGTCACCTCAATCAATCAAGATTTACTATCTCATCAACCGATCCACCATCTTTACGTGGTATCCTAATTCTAATTTTAACATCACTCACTCTTTGGTTTCAACATACAGAAGAGTTTTCAGAGTAAAAGTTCAGTAAATTCCGGCTGATTAATTGTCGTTCCTCCTTGAAGTACGTCACTATTCATATTTAATTATTGGCTTTCCTGTTATTCTTTTTCCTCCAGGTATCTGATGAAGAACATAATTCTTTCTACCAGTATCTTTGTGGTAACAAGTACGATAGTCCACGTTACACTTTTGCATACAAAACGGATGCACCGATAAATTTGCGAGTACTTTTGTATGTCCCAAACTGGAAACCTAGTATATTTGATATGGCGCGGGATTCGGACAATGGTGTGGCACTATACAGTCGAAAGGTATGTCATACACATTATTCACAAATTAATTTAAACCACCTATTCAGTATTAAATCTATGGAGTCATTGTAGTACGAATAGTGGTCACTGCGTATAATATCCCAGAAATCAAGTCGTCCACTCAGTAGGTTATTTCTGAAGGCTACTATGGTTTCAAGCTAGACACCATCACAGACTGTCATGTGTTAGTTATTTGGAGATTGCCAATTTTCTTTCTTTGAATTGATTTATTTTGCTTTCTTTGCCTAACAGGTTATGATAATGAATCGTACAGAAGTACTTTTACCGAAATGGCTACGTTTTCTGCGTGGTGTTGTTGATAGCGAGGATATCCCCTTAAACTTGAGTAGGGAATTGCTGCAAGACAATTCACTTATACGTCGCATCAACCGTTTGGTAACTGTCAGGTTCCTCAAATTTTTATCTGTAAGTTGACCATAAATGTTTTCTGTACATTTCGAGATTATTTCTTAATCGTATGAAACAGGGAAGCGAAAACGGGTTGTTAGTAATCATGATCAAATAGGATCGTAATCGTAGGGTTAAAAAGATTGTCTCTTGAGCCCAGTTTCACACGGCCTTCTTGTGAGTTGTTTTGCTAGATACTTCTCAGTCCTTACCACCGCACTGGAGATCCATGGAGAAGGTAAGGCGTGCCATTTGGGGTCGACATTTCTAACCTGTTGTGGGAAGACTATCACTGGAGATACTGGTTATCTTACTACTGCAACACTAGTATTTTTGGGAGTTCGTCTTTACTTTGAATTCTAGGTTTTTGCTTTTGGTCTTACAGCTCTTCAACTGACCTGCTTAGCACGTTAGAATCTCAAAAACAAACGTTCCGGTCATTATTGATTTACAGGCTTGTAACGACAGATCAGCCTGACAACCACTTCATGATGGTACATATGTTTGGTCCTCATCTTGAGGTGAAGTGACACAAAATTGTATGTAACATCGTGGTGACCCATATTTATCTGCTAATTTAGTTGCTGACCGAATAGAGACACTCAAAGGATTAAATGAAGTCCATCCATTTATACAGATAGAAAATAGCCTTTCTAGATGTTCTACTTTCAAAGGGAATAAATAGGTCACTAAGAGGAAACTTAGACAAGACAACTACTTAGACTGGCCGATATACGATTTTCCTTATTTTTGTTCCTCTACAATATAAGAGGAACCTGATTAAGACCAAGAATCAAGACCATATGCTCTCTAGATGCGGTTGAAGAAGAAACAAGAGCATTCAGTGCTACTCTGAAAAATGGATATCCGGAGAAATTTGTAAATAAACATCTACCCATGAAAAAAAGCATAAGGAATTCCTAAATGAGAGCGAAAAGTCTCTATGTATACGCTTACAATTTAGAAGTTGTGCACCCGGTGAAATGATAATACTAAGGTTGCAAAGAGCAACCCAAAGAACCTTTAATGCAGGTAAACTACAATAATGTTTTCCCAACGCCCGATGGTCACTCTGAGATTAAAAGACAAATTACCTAGACTAGCAACTTCTTTCTGTATCTATCAATTCAAATGCTCTTGTGAGGCAAGTTACATTGACAGATGTTCTGGGGATTTGTATTTTCGTGCTCGCGAGCATCTCCTAGTGTGGTTACGTAAGGGTGCAGTTAAAACTGCCAACAACTCGATTTTAGCTCATTTGGTGTAAACACGACATACAACCAATATATAGAAGTCATTTATAATAATACATCGTGTTAACAGAAATCTGCGTAAACCGTCAGAATAACAAACCTTTAGACGGCTGAAACAACGGCTATTTGAATCAAAAAGATGGAGCTTTGCGTCCAGGAAAAAGATATGTTCAGCCGCTTCATTTACTTTGGCCAACTTCCGGCCTATTCAACTGACTATCATTTTGATAATGTGACGTAATTCGATTACAAAATCTTGAGTTTTTATTCAAATCGAAGAATAAAGTAGAAGGAACATCTCTCTGTCAAGTGCAAACATTGGAGTAAACTGAGATGCATTACATAGTGTTCTGTATATTCATTAAGCTTTATTTCGTTACTTCGTTAAGACTATATAGTTCACATGTACTGATAGTATCTCAAACTGTACTCTTCACAGTTATATAATAGTTTTTAAAGTTTCTAGTTATAGACTTTATATTGTATTGTCTTCTACAGCAACAAGCATCACGGGAAACAGAAAAATTCATTAGCTTTCTGGATGACTATGGTGTTTATTTGAAAGAAGGCTTAGTAATTGAGGGAGATCAAGAATTACGCGAAGAAATAGCTAAACTATTACGATGGGAATCTACTGCCTTACCTCCTGGTCAAACTACTTGTTTGGATGAATATGCTAACCGAATGCATTCAGGTCAGAGAAATATTTACTTTTTATCATCCCCCAACAGACAGTTGGCTGAGAGTTCTCCATATTTGGAAGCTGTCCGCAAAAAAGATCCAGATATTGAGGTGAGTACTGTATTGTATTGATTTTATGTGAATGTTAAAATAGTGACCGTATATTGTGTTATTATTGTTGCCTAATTTCGATGGAAATCAACAATTCATTCTCCCAAGCCACGGATTCCAACATGTCCGTTTCGTCTTGTCAGCCGTATGTTGTTCCATCTTAAAAAGTACTTTTCTGATAATTCATTCTAAGGATCACAGTAACGTAGATTTCGTTGCACTAAATGTGGATCTTTCATGTTAAGAATCCCCATCTTTTGAATGTACTGTTAAGTGGTATGAGCAGTTAGTTATTCATCATGTGGGTAGAGAAAGCAACCGTAAACTAACTTGTCTCTGTAATTTGATCCTGGGTAGATTAAATTACTAACTATAGTCTAATGTGAACAGTGAACTGACTTTGCGGACACCTGGTTGTCAGTTTCATTTCAGTGAGCATTCCAAACGTCTAATAAAGCTTTCAGTGTTTGGATTTGTTGTAATGTTTACATATCAATGTAGCTATATACCTAGTAAAGATCAAGATAAATTACAAACACTCATGATATTTCATGCTTTCCAGTAAAGCACAACACCTAGGTCCAGGAGTTTATCAGTTGATACTCAAGTTTACTTGAATTTCTGATCACATTGAACTTTCATTAATCACTTTAGAACCTCAGGGCTATATCAAAGACCATCGAGCAATCAGTTTGTATGCTTAAGCTTTATTAGTTGCTTATCATTCTATACAAATAATCATTTAGGTGTTGATCGATGTAATACGATCAGCACTAAGGATATAACAAAAATGACATTGATTACCATTCACAGAAGTGTGGAACAACTGTCATCGGTTCCCTTTCAATTTCAACAAAGTCATTCAGAATTGATTTTTTAATGTTCGAAGCGACTGTATAAAGAAATTATTTAAATGTATAAAAATAGGTCTAGACATTTCTGTTTATTAAGAAGGAACGAATTGAGCGAAGAAATTTCTTTTCAATTAGTTTTTCATCATGGCTCTACACTAATATATATACGTTTTACAATAATCATATAATACTCATCGAGTGGATACGTTATCAACATTTGTCATCGCCTCACTGAGCCTTGCGCTATACTTTAGATACTCATTGAGAACCTTTAACGCAAATGTTTGCTCAGAACGTTTCAATATAGTGAAAATTCCCATTTTGCCATTTGGTAAATTAAGAAGGAACGAATTGAGCGAAGAAATTTCTTTTCAATTAGTTTTTCATCATGGCTCTACACTAATATATATACGTTTTACAATAATCATATAATACTCATCGAGTGGATACGTTATCAACATTTGTCATCGCCTCACTGAGCCTTGCGCTATACTTTAGATACTCATTGAGAACCTTTAACGCAAATGTTGATAACGTATCCACTCGATGAGTATTATATGATTATTGTAAAACGTATATATATTAGTGTAGAGCCATGATGAAAAACTAATTGAAAAGAAATTTCTTCGCTCAATTCGTTCCTTCTTAATTTACCAAATGGCAAAATGGGAATTTTCACTATATTCTGTTTATACTAGTGAAGTATATAAAATTTCCTTAAAAAATGATTAAAGTGATATGCATCAATCCCGATCCCGTATGATTATTTTTTCTTTAGTGTAGGTCTTTAATCGACTAAAATAGTGAAGTCCTCAGAGATACACTTTGAAGTTTCTTGATATATATTTATTTTCTCAACATGAATTGATGTGAGCAGATATTAAAATTTCAAACTGTCAGTCGACGCATTAGACATTTTTCACTAATTCAGATTTTCATGAATGCGGCAACGTAATCTAAAAAATCTTAAAGGATAATTTATTTCGTTGTTTCACCACTCAAAATAAATCATCTAGACATTTTCTGAATATATATATATATATATATATATATATATATATATATATATATATATATATAAGTGTACATAAATTGTATTTTACAGGTAATATTTCTTTACAGTCACATATCAGACATCGTTTTTTGGTATTCCTACGATCTTTTGGGACGTTATATACTAGGGGGACAATTGTAGTTGTTTATTCGGATTGTTCAGTACAATCCGTTTACTAACATCGTTACGTTTTAGCTTGACCATTCACTATAAAGCCGGGGACAACACTACAAAACACTTACTAAGGAATATGTAAGAATCATTCATTAACTATTTACTTCACACTTCAGAAAGTGATAAGTTAAAGAAGACAGAAGTTTCATCTCCGTCATAGTATCTGTTCACCTGTTAACATCAACTATATTGTCCTGTCGGATTTCCATTCTTATATTTTATAACCTCCAAAATATTGTAATATTCAACAGTGTTATTGTTAGCCTAAATAAAATCTGTTAAACTGCAAATTTACCACATTAGTGTTGTTGTATTACTTAATTACAGGGCCTGATTTGTTCGCTTTTAATTTCAGGTCCTGTTTTTGTATGAACCGTACGACGAACTTGTTCTTATGCAATTAAGTCAATACGACAAAAAAACGTTGACGTCGATTGAGAGTATGATCGCTGATGATATGGCAAATACTGACTCAGTTGGATCTGAACGCCAAAATTGCTTAAAACAGGATGAGGCGTCGGAGTTGGTAGAATGGGCAGAAAAAGTTCTTGGTTCAAAAGTCAAGAAAGTGAAAGTAAGAAATAATGAGAATGATCGTTTCGGTAAATTAAATCATTCAGAGTTTTCTGGTTGCTCATATTTCATAATTAGTCTTGGTAAAAATTTATTTGAATTAACAGGTTACAAGTATACTCATTTTTTAGAATATATTGAATAAGATGCATGCTTCATATTAAAATCACTTCACATTAAAAATGCACTTAAGTAAACTTTTAAAATATCACAAACATTTTTGTAATGTCTTATCGTAGTGAACGAGAACACTGGAGGGGATAACCAAATGTATTTGAACACAAAATTACAGAGTCCCGTAAAATCTGAGAACCGTACAGTAAATACTTCATTTGCAAAATGTCAATCAATTATCTCAGACTTGATTATTCCTTCATTTCAACACCAATCATTCTCTGTTCTCGTTCTCTTCTCTTCGATCTTCTTAACCTTCTGTCATCAGGCATTTAACTTTCGATTGATGATACATACCATTTATATCTGTCGACATCAGTAGCTCACACCACATCATAAATATTTGTTCCCATATTTTATCCATGATGCACATATGATACAAATATTACCTATATTCATCAGTCGCAACATCTTGAATTTATACATTTTTGTGTTAGGTTTTACTTTGATATTTCTTCACTTTTCAATTGTTTGCAATCGTTATTCATTCTCTTGATGTCTTCCACGAATTCCTTGCTCAGTGTGTTCTTCGGTCTTCCTCTTTTCTTTTTTCCTTCAAGATTCCAAGTTACGTCTTACCTCTTGTTTCAGTTCGATGATTTCCACTGTGTATGTCCTACCCATCTTCAGATGCTTTTCTTAATTTCCTATTCAGATGGAAGTTGGTTTGTTCTCTCCCGCAGTAAGCTGTTGCTGATGGGATCTACCAAACCGATCTGGAGTATATTGCTTACACGATTGTTTATAAATACCTGTTCCAGTAGTTCTCTATGATTCCGCTCTTTACAGTGGGACCGTCTTGACTTTGGTGTTGGCTAAGCGACAGTTTTTTTGAGTTTCAAATGTTCTTCGACTGTAGGAATGCTGTTCTTGCTTTACTAATCCTTACATTTACGTCTGCATCGGATCCTCATTGTTCACTGATGATGCTTCCCAGGTACGTGAAAGATTCCACACCTCCAGAGCTTCTCCATGAAATGTGATTGGATTGGTGTTCTCTATATTGTATTTGAGAATCTTGCTTTTTGCTTTGTGTATGTTGAGGTCTACTGCTGCAGACAGAGGTTGCTGTTAGACTGGTTGTTTTTACGTGAATATATTGATGTGTATGGGATAGAACAGTCATGTCACCTACGAAGTCCAAACCGTCCAGTCGCATGCAAGCTGTCCATAGTATTTCGTGCTTCCCGTCAGATGTGGTCTTCATAATCCAGTTAAACACTAGAAGAACGAAAAAGGGGGATAGTAAGAAGCCTTGTCTGACTCCGGTCCTTACTTGGAATGCATCTGTCAGCTGCCCTCCATACACGACTTTGCACTGTAGTCCGTCGTATGAATTCCTAACCACGTTGACGATCTCTCAGGTACACCATAGCGTTGAAGTAGTTTTCATAAGGTTCTCCTATGAACACTGTCACACACCTCATAGTCGAGGAGGTTGATGTATAGTGACGAGTTCTACTCAACAGACTGCTCAACGATGATCCGTAGTGTCATGATTCAGTCTGTGCTCGACCGTTCTTTACGGAATCCAGCCCGTTGTCCTCGAAGTTAGGCGTCTACTGTTTTTTTTATCTAGTTCAGCAACACTGTTGAAAAGTGCTAGGGTTGAAGCTATCACGAGTTCACTTAATCTGCGAACGAGAAACAAGACTCGGTGACCAAAGACCAGTAACCTAGCTATTGATGCGTCCCAGCCCCGCTAGAGGGATAAGTCCAAGCTTGGAATGGGGAAATATATTCTGCAAACAGCCAGGAACGAACGATAACAACAAACACAATTCAAAACGTATATATACAGTACAAAACCGTCCTTGGGAAGAGTTACCAAGTAGCATACATACGCAACAGACCAATAGCATTTAAGATATTTCCCAGTGGGAAATATGACATGAAGGTGACAAGAGCGCCTTTGGCGCGAAAATGAAGAAATTCAAATTTTCTAAATAAAATCACAAAATTAGGTTCTTTCCCAACTGAGTTCTGGGGATCTGACGTCCCAAAGAAGACGTTTCCTGGTACTGACAGTAATGTGGCGCCTCTGTAGTTCTCACATTTGCTCAGATCTTCTTTCTTTGGAATGTTGATGAGGGGTCATTCTTCCCAGCCTGTCAGTGGCATTTGTTCTTCCTCCCAAATCTTCCTGAATGGAACGTGGAGCATGTTTGCAGTTTTATGTGTGCCTTCAGTGCTTCAGCTGGTATATTGTCAGGCCCTGCTGGTTTTCCAATCTTGATTTGTCTAATGGCCACCCTGATTGCTTCCGTTGTTGGTAGAGTGACATGTATAGGAAGGCCTTTGTGTGCTGCTTTGATTTCCGGTGGATTCAGTTGCATCTTTTTCTGACATCATTGCTCTAATGCTTTTTTTCACTTGCTTGTTTGCTTCTGTGTATTTGATCTGTGTCTTGATTCTGTTCATGTTCGGCTGTTGTTAATTGCCGTCTTGTTCTTCCTTCCTTGAATCTTGTCCAGGGTTTCGATAGAGATCCATTCCTTATGATATTTTTGCGGCCCAGTACCTCTTGGTACGTTGAGGTTCATGCTTTTACTCTTACTACTTCTACTACTATAGGATTTGAACCGATAATTGTATCTCTGTGCTAATGCGCTCTGGCAACTTGAACTGATGTACGTACGTACGAAGTTCTACGTTGTTACTGACTGACTGCCATTCAGGTCGACTGGAGATCTTGGGACATCGAAGTGTGGCTGTAGGTCAGTTGAACTGATTCCTAAAGTGTTCTGCCCATCGATCCAACCTCCTGGATTGAGGGTGCATAATATGTCCATCATTTTTTAAGGTAGTTTCGCTAACAGTCGGGTTCGTAATACCGGTTTCCTTAACAAGTCTGAACAGTTGTTCAATGTTACTTATTGCCACTGCCTTTACCATCTCTCTTGCTTTCGCTACTCACCACTGTTCACAATCATTGCGTAGGCTTCTTGTCAGTTTGCGCTTAAGTTGACTCCGCTCTTCGTCATGTTCAGAGCCAGATCGAATGAGTTTCCGAGCATATATCTGTGCGGTAGATGCTGCTGAGACCCAGTATTTCTCCCTAACCTTATGGTTTACCTTACTTGAGCATTAAAGTCATCAGCCACTATTACTACATCACAGCGCCTAACGTTTTGGAGTAGGCCAGAAATCTTTCCGCAAAACTCATCGTTTACATCATCTGAGCTGCAGTCAGTGGGAGAGTAGGCAGAGACGACGAGGAGGCAACGATGTGTATCCCTATCTTTCCGAGTCTTTACTGTTCCGTTTAGTCGAACAGCGCACAAGCGACTGTCTACTGGAATCCAGTCTAAGAAAGCTAGTTCTGCCCTAGGACTCAATGCTATACCTATACCATCGAGGCCACGGGAAGCAGCATCTGGGCTTCCAGATACACGAAGCGTGAATCGAGATGGTTCTTCACTTTGATATAGTGAGGTCGAATGAATGACACTAATCGGATCCTGTATGTGCGTTTCGGAGACGCAGCATACATCGATGGCGTGAGACTCTAAAGTCCTAGCTAAGGAAGCCTGTTGTCCTATTCGGCATAGTGTTCGAACTTTAAAAGCTCCTACATGTAGTTTAGAGCATGGTTTCAGGAGACCGGCAATAACGTCCCGCGTACTCGAATCGTTTGCATTAGCGGTGCAAGGTGATAAAGGGGTATGAGAAGGGTTAATCGTGGAGGTGTAGGAAGGATTTGAATGTGATATCACTTCCCGGGCTGCCCACACCGTGGAAGGGTATTTCTCTATATTTCGCGCTCTAGAAGAAAATCTTAACAGCCTTGTGTGTCCTTGAAAGTTAATATTACAGATGTGTTATTCGGAATCTTTTTGATTCGGTCACAAAAGATTTATCAGTAATTTTGTTTGTTCTTGAACCAAACCTTAATAGAACAGCAGTTACATCGTTGGGAGATCTTTATATTGACCATTATCCCGGTTTGCTACGTAAAAGTGTGTCAGTGCCTTTTGCGATAACCCCCCCCACAAATTTGAACTTATTATGTTGTCTACTCTTCACTTGGGTATTGCGTTTCCAATTTACCCTACTGCTGTCATATAACGTATGGTTTTCGTACGGTCCTTAGGTCACCAAATCTAAGAGTCGTTATAGTTTAGTAAATATACTGCTGTAGTTTTATGTGTTTACATCATTAGTTTTCATAAAAAATCAAGTCATCCTGTATACTGTTGTCGCTTAATTATTTTATCTATTTCTCTGACAAATAAATATCACATTTGTTTCCAATTATTCAGGTTACACAGAGGTTGAGTACTCATCCATGCTTTGTTTCTGTTCGTGAAGCTGGAGCAATGAGACATTTTTTGAGAACATCTTTGGCTGACAGACCTGCTGAAGAAAGATATCGTGTTATTGAACCAATACTAGAACTTAATCCAGAACATGAACTAGTTCGATATCTGTATAATTTAGTTCATGCTTCCAAAGATTCTGAACAAAGTGGAGATTATTCTCTAGCAATTTCAATCTTGAATCATTTTTATGACACGGCTATGGCTCAAGCGGGTCTCTTAGATGATGTTCGTGGACTTGCGTCTCGAACGACAGATTTAGTCGAGAAATTAGTTGGAAAGACTAAATAAATAAAATGTTTTCCTCTAAATTTCAGCATTTTGTTCATATATTTATCTGTTTACTCTTTATTAAAATGTAAAGTAAACTTTTCTATCTATGACAATATATGATTATCCATATTCATTTCTTTTGTTTCCAATATTTTTTTATTTGGCATTGGCTATACTGCAAAAACGCAACTATCTTAAGTGTTAAACTTTCTGGAAAGATTACGAAAACGTAGTACCAGTAGTGATTTATGTCGGCTAGCTTGATCTTATTTTAGGGTAATCATTTTTCCGAACATCAATTAGCATTTTGTAATACTCCTATTATTTTAACTACTGAACGTGTCATATATTTCTCGTATCATTGGGAAGGTGAAAAGTGATTACATACAATGTTTCTTTTAAGAATAAACCTTCTACACACTAAGCTTCAGTACGTTCAAAGAGAACCACTCTTATGTAATGTCTTAAATTTTTGAGAAATAATCTACCAGAATCGTTTTAATAATCAAAGTAGTTTACTAGTTATCAATAGCTATGTTATTATTACTGTGACTGTTGCTTCAGGAATAACTCGTCTGACAATAATGAAGGCTAAAGAGTTCCAGTAAAACGTACTGCTCATAAATTATGCGGAGTGATATGTGACTTGTTATGAAATAGAATAAGCAGATCAAATTCATATTCAAAATATTCTGTCATTACAAGTTAATAATATCGTTTTCGTGCTGATATAGTACGTGTTTATTTTTGACTCAATCTATAAAATAACTGGATAAAGTCGAACCAACTTAAGGTGGACAACTATAAAGGTATGACATTTCCGAATGTCCCAGTTGAGATAAGTGGGAAATTCAGAAAATCCTTTTTGACTGAGCGTCTAACGGATCTTGATGTATTTATTGTTTACATTTACTTTAACTGGTGAAATAGCCATGACTCAAACAAGTAAAAATAACCAAAATAAATGGATGTCAGGAACTAGTTAGGAATACTTATCTTTTACTAAATTAAGAAACTGATATTCGAGATAATAGAAAAATGAGAATTCTCAGATTATGCGCTTGTTATTACACTAGTGTTTCTGTAGGCAACTCATCAACCAAAGAAGTCAGAACCTGGTCACTGAGTTTACTTCTTACCCTTCATTCCATTGTGTTCTTACGTAGTAATTAAAATTTGCCACCTATTCTCTCAAAGGAATCATTTGGTGTACGTAATACAGCGTAAATTACTACTTGTTAAAATTGAATTGACTGAATAAGTATGAATGAGAGATATGCATCGTTCGAATTATTCAGAATGTATTTTGACGCAGTTACCAACTGCCCAGAAAACTGTAATACTTTTGGGACAGAAATACTAAGCTACTTTTATGCTACTCATAAATATGCCCACTTGTTCGGCCGACTGAATATCTACGAACTGATGGTATAAAGTGACCTCTCACCATAGAATTCAAATTTAGTGTAAATGCGACACAACCGTTTTTATTTTCCAATTAGCTGTTAAATAAAATAGTGTGAAGTGTATTATTTAGGAAATATGCAGTTCATAGATATTCATCTAGTGAACTAGATTCCACTTCCCATCACATGTGTTAAAAATTGCTTATTAACTTACCTAATGTTCTACTGAGAAATCACAGTTGACTGTTATTTGATACAAGCTATGTTGTTCAGTGTTTATTCATCTGCGTATTGGATAGTGGAAATAGTCCAAGTAATGTCACTGTGTTTACTAAGTCCGTCAGTCAAGTTGCATAACACTAGGGGTTTGGAAGTGAATAATTCCGTAATAACTGCACATATTGAAAAGTATTTTGCTGGAGAAAAAGGATGTTTAAATGTCTATTTCATTACATCACTTCAAGTCACTTGTGACTAGAGAAATAAAACGAGTATCAGTAACGTGTGTAAAAACAATGATTATTCAAACGAAAAGCTTCAGGTTTATAACACTACTGAATACGTCACTCTTAAGTAAAAATCGCAGTCGCTTTATGTTTCAGAACTTGTAAAGCTTATCACATATTTGAAACTAATGTAAGTTGAATAAATTAATTGAAAGGGTGCTCTATATATTGCGTTTCACCTCAGATCGGCCTGTCTATACATTTTCATGTAATTGTTATTATTATCGACAAATCATTCTAACTGATCAATTATTTTTAAACTATAATACATGTATATGTAAATAATAGACAGATTGAAGGTATAATTAAGCTAATAGTGGTTGAATTCGACTTGTGGTGTTAACTTTCATTTAATTGGCTATTTTTCACTACACTGTCTCTTCTGTATTCCTTCTTAACTTTATTTAAGACCACTTCTCTTCAGAATAAACTGTATGAAGGTAAGTTTATTCGAATTATCAGCAATGTTCATAAAAATGTCATTGTCTTGTTATGATACCTATTCATCTTGCATTAAATATTTGTAAAATAACTAAATCCTACCTGACTGGTTCAATTATTCGCTTTGACTCAATAGAACGTCGTAGAAATTACTTTTTTTTAAACCAGTTACTAATCAATACTAGATGACTTGTTCATTATAAAACTTGACAAATTTGGGCCAATACATTGGGTTTTATGTGTTATGTATTACATGATATCTTAGTCACGTTGTTGTGTAGCTAATCTGTGAAACAATATAATGTGGTTATAAGATGTAATTGCTTAAAATATATCAAATTCTTAGAATAAAATCAACTTAAACCCAATCATTACTATTCAGCGTTAAGAAATATATCATCATTAACGTCTAATGAATATACAAAATTAAAATTGTTGTCATGAAACATTATTATTGTATTCATTAATATTCGTGTTTAAATTCACTTAAAAATTAGTGTATAGAGTATTTCTGCAGATCTTAATGTTCGTGGTTTGTCCGAGCTTATCAAGGAAGTAAGTATGAACGCTATTTCTTCTGACCTATACCCCAAGTTAAATTTTCAATACCTAGTAAACTTTGATGTTAAAACTCAGTGAAAGCGTCGCTTATCTGCACAACTAATCTATCGTCAGGATGCTCGTATGTGAGTGTCAGATCATTAAGCAACCCGACGTAAATGAATACCGATAATAAATGCAATATATTTTGTTCTGAGAAAGGGCTATCATAACACTACATTTGAAAAACTGACGTAACAGAAACATTTGCGTGACATTTTTTGTTCTGCGTGAGGTTCCGCGAAATTCAAAAATACCGTAAGTTGACCTTGCTGTCATAACTTTGTGTTATAGTTAAAATAGGTGGATCCTGCATTACTACATGATGTATAACTGAGAGTCTCAGTCTTGATTTTTCATTGGTCGACCAAGTCAGTTTCATTACTTTCGTAAGCCACGTAAAGCACAATGATAGTATTTAAAAAAATTAAGATCTCGACCCATGAGGTGTCTAGATGAAAGCTTCTGTGAACATGAAACCTCGGCAAAAATAGAAACTATCAGATGCCTGCAAATCCTAAGCAGTATTTCATCATAGACAATAAATGCTAATCTCAACCCATAAAATATCATTTTATAAAGATGTACATTGTGATCCTGGTTTTCTCACACTTTTTTGAACGATACTTAATAAGGACTCAATGATTCTCTAGTCCGAGCACACTTTTTTCACCTGAAGACCAAGGTTAACCGATTGAGCGCTTCGATTGACAGTAATTAACTTTCAACAATGACGAGATAATCTTGACACCTATTGATCCGCCGGAGACACACCTTCCTATATTATTATATTTCAGGCACTCATATATATACACTGCCAAATCAAATTATATAATAAATAAAAAGTCATAGTTTCTACACGAATAAGCCAGAAGTGAGAGAATAGAGCAAGCTCTAAATGATTTGAAAAAATTGAAAGGATGCTTAAATGGATAGTGATAGTCAGTGAATCTAACGGGAACTTAAAATAAAACAAATGTGGAAATGTAACAAACTAGTTATTCAATAGTAATCTGTAAAATAGTTCCAAAAAATACCACTTACTCAATATTCATCCAGTTAAAATAGTACAGATTGTCTTGATCTTAACTTTCAGCTATTAAACTTAATTTGCATCGTAATTTTATGCCGGACCATGTCATCTAGTTTCAAATCTACCAATGAAGCAGAGGAATACTTTTACTTTAACATTCTGTATGACATACCAATACAGCATCAGTATATAATGCGAGTTGGTTATTCACCTGGTCAATTCGGAACAGAACAAAATACCATCATTATACCACCAGAAAGTCATGGAAAAAGCAAATTAATCGAATTGTATACCAATATAAACGAATACGAAAAATTCATTAACAGTAATCATATGAGAACAAACAATTTTCATTATAAATTTTATCAAACTTTAATTAAACTTCATAAATTAAAATTACAAACTCATGAAATAAACAAACAATTTTATGAATATTTAATCCCTAATCGATCAAATACAAGAATACAATTTATAATGTATTACTGTACAGCGTTGCTGGACTTTAATGAACATTCAAATGGAGATTATGCCAACTCTACGACTACTACTTCAGCTAAAAGATTTCGACTAATAGTTCGACAGGATATACATCAGTTTTGTCCTAAAGCATGTGCATATCGTGGAGGTCCAGGATTTAATATTAAGCATAAAACCAAATTAAACCGTTATACCAGTTTGTGTAATTTCCCAAAACATTTTATGACAGTTTCATCACAACGATGCATTGAACAAAATAATGGTAAATTGTATTCATACATAGAACTAAGTGAATTTTTCTTCAGTTTAGTGTGCAACTGGATTGATCAGAAAAACTCATAGATTTTGGTTCACTCGGTATTGTTTATTTGAATCTTCCTATTGATGTTTAGGACTGAAATTGATCAGTCTCTTATTGGCATATGTACATACTGTGCGTATTGCCTCGATATTGCCTTAATTCACAAGGATTATAAGCTAAGATGGATAGTGGCTAGCAGTGGAATCCAGGACGCTCGTTTCGTCCTATTTGGGACTCGTCAGCTGGATGTACCTGCATCTCAGAATTGATGTTCACTCTGGGACTCGAACCTAGTACCCCTCTCTTCAAACGCCATCGCGTTATCCACTTAGCCACTGAGTCCTGATAGATTTAGGTTAGAAAATTAGA